TTATATAAATATGATATGTAAAAGTTATATATAAATGAGATTTATCATGATATTTTAGATAAAAAGGATAATTATTTTTAATAAATATAAATAAATTTATTTATCTAATGGATTAGAGAATTCAAGAATCTTCTTACAAGTTAATTCTCTTTCGCATAAAATGATAAAACTCATATGATATCACATGGTTAATGTAAAACTTTTCTAAAAATTTGTCAAGGCTAAGAAAGAGTGCTCTATGACAACTCATAAAATAAAGTAACCCACATGATATCACATGTTTAGGGTAAAATTTCTAAAAACCTGCTGGAGACTAGAACAAAAGTGCTCTGTGTTATCTCATAAAATAAGGAAAGTGACATGGTTCTACAGTATATATTTTTGCCGAAAGATATCTTCCAGAGTTGAATAATGCCGTTTGAGATTAGTTTGTCTATTGCATTGAAGAATTCAAGAATCATTTTATAATTTAATTCTCTTTCGCATAAAATAATGAAACCAATGCGAGATCACATGGTAAGTGTAAAATTTCTAAAATTTTATCGGAGATTAAGAAAGAGTGCTTTATGCCAGCTTATAAAATAAAATAACCCATGTGATATCACATGTTTGGGGTAAAATTTCTAAAAACTTGTCGGAGACTAAAACAAGAGTGCTCTCTGTTAGCTCATAAAATAAGGAAAGTATCATGGTTCTACAATATATTTTTTTACCGAAAAATATCTTCCAGAGTTGAATAATGCCGCTTGAGATTAGTTTGCCTATGGCATTAAAGAATTCAAGAGTCATTTTATAAGTTAATTCTCTTTCCCATAAAATAATGAAACTCATGTGAGATCACATGGCTAGTGTAAAACTTCTAAAAATTTGTCGAAGATTAGGCAGTAATGCTTTATGCCAGCTTATAAAATCAAGCAACCCATGTCATATCACATATTTAGGGTAAATTTTCTAAAAACTTGTCGGAGACTAGAATAAGAGTGCTCCATGTTAGCTCATAAAATAAGGAAAGTTTCTTTTCGCACCCTTCTTTTAATTTTTTTAATTAAATAAATAAATTGTCCCCTTTTCATTCTCTTTTTTTTTCCCCCTCAAATTAAATATATTTAAAATTTAAAATTTAATTTTTAAAATAATTTAGTTCTTTTTAATGTATTAAGTTTATATAATAACTTTCTCTCAAAATTATAAAAAAAAGGAAGATTTTGAAATACATGCAAATTGAATGTCAAGAAGAAACAAATACCTTTCATTGTTGAATAATAATGCCGTTTGAGAATGTTCTGCCTAATGCATTATAGCCGTTAAAATTCGGGAATCATTTTATAATTTAATTCTCTCTTGCATATATTGTTTAAGAGTAAGATAATGCAACCCACATGATCTCACATGTCTGGCCTAAAACTACTAAAGACTTGTCGGAGACTACGGAAAAAACGCTCTATGCCAGCTGATAAACCACTTCTATTTGCGTTCTTTTTGGCAGGAAGGAAACAAACTTTGGTTGTATTTATTTAGGCTCATTGGGTACATTAA